TTCCTTTGGAATTTCATTAAGTGCACACAGTCATTACAGTATACCAAAGCAATTGACTTGCTACCTATACAGTAAATGTTTAATAATTTGCTATCCAAATGGAAAAAATACATTTCTAATTATCTCTGGTATCATTTTGCAGAGTGAAAATTAAGTGCAGCTTGCCTGTGAAACAATGAATAACGCAACATAATTATCAAGTGTGTCTTGTAAAATCCTCTTTTGAATATTATTTGAATCAAAAGGCTCCCTCTGTTATAGTGCTCAAATTAAGGAACAAGCCCTTGGGTAACTTAGAAAGAAATCTCCATGTAGCTGAATACAGAAACATATTCAAGTCAAAGCAATAGCAGGCACCATTTGAACATTAAATTGCTCCCTGTGACAACGTAACACCCAAGGGGGCTTTAGATCCATGTTAGTAATGTGAATGTTTGGTACAAAGATAACACATGCAGCATATCACGGGAGAAAATGTCTCTGAGTTCATCAAAATAAAATAGTTTTGTCATCCTAAATGAAGCTGATCAGCTCAACAGTAACCATAGATTTTATAAAACTTACTTTTGGTGATGTCTACAGAGCATGTGGGAACTCAGGTTCTGAAAGGCTGAGGGGGAATGAGCCTGAGACCCCAAATTCCTACCCAAGCTGCAATGGCAAGTCACCGCTTACACAGGGCTAATGCAAGCTCTGCTATCACAAGTATGTGGACCAAGGCTGGGAGGCTTGCTCTCAGATTCAGTGTAAACATGCCCAGTAAGACACTCTATATTGTGGGAATAGGAGGCTGTTGCTACAGAGGCATGATTCAGTATGCTTCTCCCTTCACTGGGCAAACATCAGCCAATGGCTCAAACTGACATCCACAGGTTGTAACTTGCCATCGTTAAGCCTTTCATATGCTCCTCCCTCCATACACACCTCCTCCTATAAGGAGGCATGTTTACTTTGGGTTGATGGAGGAGTTTTGTGCTAATTATCTATAATACAGATTCCATTTCCTGGGGTGTCCTAGTGTAGATTACTCGTCAGGAGGCTGGAGAGAAACCCTACCAGAGGACATGCATCCGCTGACTAAGCCTGTAACCTCTTCCCTAACTCTTAGTGCAGTTTCCTCAATATTAGTACTCCACCATGAACTAGAAGAAGTTGCTGGATACGATCACATAGCTGCTTCCGCCGCCTCCTTCAGTCCCTTAAAGTGGTCCCAACTAGATATTCATCCACAAGACAATTATCCACCAAGAGAGTGTCCAAGCTTCACAAAGTCAGCCTTAAGCCTGTAACCTCTTCCCTAACTCTTAGTGCAGTTTCCTCAATATTAGTACTCCACCATGAACTAGAAGAAGTTGCTGGATACGATCACATAGCTGCTTCCGCCGCCTCCTTCAGTCCCTTAAAGTGGTCCCAACTAGATATTCATCCACAAGACAATTATCCACCAAGAGAGTGTCCAAGCTTCACAAAGTCAGCCTTGTGCCAAAGGCTGGTGAGGTTCTCTGAACTTTTCATGAATCTTAACAAAAGTGTCATTGGGGCAGTGGATGAAGGTTTGGCCAGTGTTGACTGAATCTCTGAATTTGCCCCAGCCTACAAGTGGAATTAGTTAAGAACACAGGACTGGAAGAAACCTTTTGGGTTACCAAGTCCAGCCTCCTGCTATTGCTGGTGCTTCCATCATATAATCCCTTCCATGAACTGATACAGTTCTTCCTTAAAGTCAATTAGGTTCCTTGCCCTCACTACTAATGGGAGACTGTCAGAAACCTTCTACTTTTCTGCGTAAACACACTTCTGGCCAGTTCCCTCCCATCAGTTCAGTAGTCTTAAGATAGCCAGGGACATGGGACAACCGTTCTGCCTGTATAAGCACTAATCTCACATTTCAGTGAGATGGTAGCCACCACCTCCATCAGGATATGAGAAAATGCAATTTTCATCCCACAGGGAGTGTTGTGGATCACACCACCCTTTTTTTTTTTGTAACCCAGCACCTAACTCAGCTATCTCTTTATACTCGCACTTCATCTAAATGCTGCTGCTTCTGTAATATCCAGTCTTTCCCATTTCCACAGCAAAACTACTCATCCAAACCCTCACCTTGTCATGTCTTGACTACTACAACATCTGACTGCACAGTCTTGATAAATACCATCTAGATCCACCCTTCTTTTATCCTTCTAAGCTTTCCTGCACAGAACATCTGCTAGGTTCACCATCCCAGCTTTGCTTCCCTTCCACCAACTCCCCCCACTTCTTGCATCCAACACAAAACAAGTTGTCCTCACATTTACGGACTGTCACAGCACATCCCTCCACTACTTATAACCTCTTATATGCTACTGAGCCATCAATCATTGTCTTCTATGACAAGGCCTGTCTTTATCACCTAGAAGTCCAAACACACACTTTCTCCCATGCTGCCACTTGTGCAGAACTGGAGCGCCCCATAAAAATATGCAAAGTCACTAATTTAGAGGCCATTAATACTGGCTGTTTAATGGTCTTCAAATTTCTCCTTCAGTCACTTCTGTTACTATGCCTACAATACTAGGCTGACACGTTGCTTGGTACCACAATCATCATTTCACCAGTACACAGTGCTCTCCTATCAGCTGGTTGTTGTATCCTTTCCTATACTATGCTTGTAACTCTTTGAAGCAGACACTATCTTTTCATTTTATATCTATATGGTGTCATGATGCCCACCTCCAGTTCTAAATGTGGACTTTAGACACTACTGCAATACAAATAAGGAATAAATAGTAATACCGCCATTTTATATCTCACAGTTATTTTATATAACATCAGTAATAGCCTCTAACACAAAACCAGACAGGAATAATAAGGTGCGCCACTAAGCTTTGTGCAAATGTTAATGGCTGTCTTGAGATTCTCTTTGTGCCAGTCATATACCCTTGGAAAACATGGCAAGAAATCAGCTAGAATAAACACAGCCTTTGGAAGTATGCTACAACAATATAAACCTAAACCATGTAACCATCTGAGGCGGGACCATAGTTTTGCTTCATAGCTAAACAGGTCTCTGATTATTGCCAGCAGATGCTTGGCTGTTTCAGGATCCCAGGAGAGAGCAAGAAAGGGGATATTTTAAAATATTATATATAATACATAGTCTGGCCAAGAGACAAATGAATTTTGCTAAAAGGAACACATTCAATGTAGATTTAACAGAGGTGCACATTTTCAGTTCTGCTTGTTATTAAAAAAACAAATCAACAAAACTCAATCCCAAATCCCACAGCCCAGAATAAAAGGAGAAGGATAGTTTTATGGATAAATACCAAAGAACGCCAGTTCCTGGTTCTGTCACAGATTTCTTAGGTGATCCTGGGCAAGTCATTTAACCTCTCTGTGTACCTCAGGTTCTTCATCAGCAAGTGAGAAATAATAGTTCTCTACCCGCAGTGGCTCTCAAGCTTTCCAGACTGCTGCACTCCTCTCAGAAATCTATTTTATCTTGCACGCTCCCAAGTGTCACTGCATTTAAAAAGTACTTGCTTACAATGTACTTAGACATAAATATACAAAAAAGTGTTGCAGACATACTGTTACTGCAAAATTGCTTACTTTTGTATTATTACAGTACAATTATAAAATACGGCAATTGGAATATAAATATGGTACTTATGTCAGAGTACAGTATGTAGAGCAGGGGTGGGCAATAAGGTTCACCAGGGTTAGCCCTTGGCAGCCTGCCAGATGCTTTATTTACCTGCGTGACACCATGAATGGCTGCTCGCAGCTTCTGTTGGCCATCGATCGCCATTTGCAGCCATTGGGAGCTGCAGGAAGCGTTGTGTACCCATTTATTGCTTCCCACAGCTCCATTGGCTGGGAACAGTGATTCACAGCCAATGGGAGCTACAAGTGGCCGTACCTTCAGATGTGCAGGTAAATAAAGCAGCTGGTGACCTGCCAGGGGCTAACCCTGGTGAATTGCATCTGGCCCTTGGACTGCTTATTGCTCACCTCAATGTAGAGGGATACAAACAAGTAATTGAATGAAATTTTAGTTTGTACTGACTTCACTAGCACTTCACAAGAGCGATGTATATTCCTAGCTAAGAGCCACTGTTCTACCTCACTCAGGTGTTGAGAGAACGAATCGTGAAAGTCATTCTGATACTATGGTGATGGGAGTCATCTAAGTATGTAGCTAGAGGAGGGTGTTCTGTTGAACTAAAAAATGTGTTACAAGGAAAGAGAAAGCCACAGACTATGTAGTGATATAAAATAGCAGGAAAAGTGAAAAAATTAGCAGAATATGTCATGATCTCATGCCAACAGGAGCAGTTTGGCCTAGTGAGTAAAGCACTAGAGTGGGACTCAGGAACAGCTCTATTCCTAGCACTGAGACACAGGGAGGCCTAGCAGTGGCAATTTCCTCATCCTTAAAACCAGGATCCCAATACTGACCTGTTTTTTGAAGTATGTTAAGATCTACAGATGAAAAGTGCTTTATAGGAACTATTACTATGTGAAAGGAAGTTCTGCCACGTGGTTAGAGAAGGGGTCTGGGACTGTTTCCTGGTCTGTCACTGATTCACAGTGGGGTCGCTATTTACCCGGTCAGCCTTATTCTGTAGAATGGATAGAGCGTTTAACTACTTCAGAGGGGCAGTGTAAGGCTCTCCTGGACAGTGGTTTGGATGTGTTATGTGCAGAGGGGGAAATGCCAGCTGCTTCACTAGGGAAGGTTCATATATTTAACATATAAGGATAAATTCAGCTCCAAGTTAAACCCATTCAGTTTCACTGACAGACAGATTGCATGGGTGTACCAGAAAGGGAAGTAGGAGGGGATAATAAGTCCATGAATCTCTGGACTGATGCTAAGGTTGCCATCTGGTATGTTTAGATTATACTTGCTGGGCTATTGGTTTAATAAATATTATGCCTCAAAAGATACTTCTTTTAGAGGACATATACTGAGATGAGTTTGCTTACCACGCCTGATATTCTAGTAAGGCAGATGCTATTCACTGGGAAGATTTTAAAACTTTCTTTTCTTTTATTTATGTCTTCCTCGTCTTCTGTCTGCAACAAACATTATGGCAGTGGAAGTTTATGCTTCTGTCATAGGAGTCAATGTGGGCTTTTTTTTTTTTTATGATACAGAGCTGGAAGAGCATTCCTTACTCATAATTAATTCCTCTCCCGAGCCTGGTGTGGTGCGTCTGAGGAGCCAGAAGCTTAATCATGTCTGCAAATCACATGGCTGGATCTCCATGGTGATAGAATCATGTGGTATGTAAATAGGAGCTGGATGGCCGAGGTTACTTTGGCAACCCGAGTAGCACAGGTAATGATCCAGATCTTGTTCAGATTTATATTCTGAATAAAACGTGTCCATTTTATATTCTGGGGCTGGTTCTATTTTGCTGCTGTTCATATCAGCCCCCATGTGAGCCAGACCCGAAATACTGTTAGAATTACATCAATATCAGCAATGTTTAGTTAAGCATCATTTATATATTTATATAGTGAAGAAAAAACATGCTGCATGTTTTATTTTTATGGGGATACCACTTATGTAAAGCCATAGTATTATAGCTTTAAGTAGCACCATAAAACACCCTGATTTTTATGATTCAAGAAGCTGCCCTGGTCTGTTACAGACTTATGTTGCCCCTAATAAGAGTTGTAGGTTGCATTATAACTGCAGATGTTCTGCTCAGGCTAGAAAGGGAGCTTTATCTTTACTTTATTACGTTGGAAAAAAGCCTAAGGTTTTTAATATAAAGGTTAATGTTTTTAGTGTTTTAATAGACATTAGGGATCATGGGTCATGTTTTATCAAGCAGCTACTGTGAGCACGAGAAAGGAGCCATCACTTGTGGTTCCTGTCTTTCTGGCCTCTCTCCATCCCTGAATGGATATGGGTTTAGCTCTGTAAGAGCCAGGGTACATCTACACTGCACACTTATTTCAAAATAAGCTCTTCTGAAATAATTATTCCGAAATAGCACGTCTACACTGCAGGGAAGCCTCAAAATTAGTCTGAAGCAGGAAAAGAGACTCTTGAAGAATTTGACAAGGATTTTAACAACTTCTACCCCAACATCAACCTCATTCTGGACAGTCCACATGAGAAATCCACTTCCTGGACACTACAGTACAATTAAATCATGGACGAATTTCCACCACCCTATACCGGAAACCCACCAACCACTACACTTACCTGCATGCTTCCAGCTTCCATCCCAGACACATTTCTCAATCTATTGTATACAGCCAAGCCCTAAAATAAAACCAGATTTGCTCTGATCCCACAGAGACAAACACTTAGAAGATCTTTATAGAGCATTCCTTCAACTGAAATACCTTCACAAATTGACAGGACCAAAAATGTAGCCAGACACGAACTACTTCAAGACAGACCCAAACGAGAAAATAACAGAACTCCTCTTGTTGTTACCTACAGTCCGCAACTCAGATTCCTCCAACACATTATACACAATCTGAAACCCATCTTGGAAAATGATCCCTTGCTCTCAGAGGCCTTGGGGGAAAAGCCTATTCTTGCTTACAGACAACCCCCCAACCTGAAACAAATTCTTTCCGGTCACCATTCTACAGAACCACATCATAAGCATCCAGGAACCCAGTGCTGCAATCAACCGTGGTGCCAACTCTACCCACGAATCTATACAAGTGAATTCATCACTGGCGCCAACAACATAAGCACCCAAATCAAAGGCTCATTTAATTACATATCCAGTAATTTGATCTATGCTATCAAATGCCAGCAACTCCCCACTGCTATATATATTGGACAAACTGAACAGTCTGTCACACCGGCCCACCGTGGGCCCTTGGTTTGTCACACTCGGCGCGGTCTGTTAACAGTGATTCAGCGTTGGCCGCACTGGTGGCTGGGTGGGGGGTCCGGGCCCTCCCTCCCTCCAGACCCCGACCCAGGGCCCTAACACCAGGAGCTGGGGCTCCTGATAGTAGCAGGTGCGGAGTTGCCCCTAAACTCGCCTGCTCACGGGTTACACGGCCCTCCCTGGGTTGCTTCCTACCCCGCCAATGGGTCTAGTCGCGCGCCCCACCCCCACATGTCAGCCGGGAGGGGGGGGGGAGTTGATTACCTCTCCCATCCTCTTTACATTCTCCGCTTCTCCTTCCTTCCTCCACCTCTTGCTTGCCGCTCCTCCTCCCCCTCATCCAGTCCGTTCCCCTTTTTATCCCTCCCCGCATCCATTTCTCCTTCTCTCACTTCTGGGTGCCCCGCCCCCTTTGCCATGGTCGTGCTGCTGACGTCAGCGGCTCTCGTGGGCGCGCTGAGGTGCGTCTCAGCCTCCCCGCCTGTCCTGCACACCGGTGACGGTCGGGCTGCAGCTCCTGCTCTGCTCCCGGAATTCGCGCGGGGACGTGACGAGGTTGCTTTACCCTGTCACACAGTCCCTATGGGAAAGAATTAATGGACACAAATCGGATATATGTAAAGGGAACTTACAGAAACTTCAATCTACCTAGTCACTCTTTAAAAGATTTCCAGATGGCTGTCTTGTCACAAACCAACTCTACAAGCCAAATACACAGAGAGGGGTTGGAATTACAATTCATACACAAATTCAATTCTCATACGGATAACTTCCTCAATCGAGATAATGGACGGCTGGGATATTATCAACCTAACATTCAATGAAGGTGCCAACTGCTCTTTGTCTGTGTAGATTCTTGCGTTAGTACCCGTCCTCACCTTATCTGCTTCTTTTAACTATCCAATCGTTAGGTGCTTATAGGTTACCAGTTCTGCCTACTTGTTTTTCCCTTTGGTATTTTCATACCCTCTGCTCCTTGTTTCCTACTCCCTTCCTTTTTTTCCCCCCCTTCCTCCCTTTCTTTTCTCCCCTATTTATTTTGGGTCAGCACATCCTAAACTCAAAACTCCGGTCATCTGAAGAAGTGGGCTGTGCCCACGAAAGCTCATGATACCAGCTACATGTTTTGTTAGTCTATAAAATGCTACCAGACCATTTGTTGTTTTTTAAGTTTTTCCCTAATGTAGACATGCCATCTCAATTTCCAGCCCCAGAAGGCACTGGGGATGAATAATTTAGAAAGCCCCTCACCAGGGCCAATTTCAAAAGAGCAGCAGTAGAGTGACCACACACACCTTATTTCAAAATAGCTATTTTGGAACAGGCATTATTCCTCATAGAATGAGGTGTACAGACTTCGGAAGAAGTTGTCTGTTATTTCAAAATTATTCCAAAACAACAGAATGGCTGTGTAGACGCTCACATTGTTATTTCGAAATAATGCTAGTTATCTCAAAATACTGTGCAGTGTAGACACACCGTCAGAGCAACAGAAAGCTCTCAAAAGACAGATCTGCCTTCTTTTCTGTATGGCCATGTCTTCAGTACTGGACAGTGCAGAGCTGCACTGGTCCAGGGGGCGCTTGTGGGGACATGGGTGTGCATATATACTGAGGAACCACCCCTAAGAAGCGTACAGTCTATTCTCCTGCTTAGTGGGCTGCAGCAGGACCCTGGCATGTTTGAGAGAATGTTGCCCTCAATGGGATGCTCATGGCATCACTACATTCCTGGGGGGTACCCTGACTGCTTTTCTTGTAACCCTCCCCTCTCCTCCCAGACACTTATCATAGCGCTTTGTTTTGTGTATTTTGATGGGCACCTTGAACATTTGGGCAACAAGATACATCAGATTAATATTCCTGTGGGAAACTTTCTGGCTTAGTTTAAAAAATGCTTTTAATGTATCTTGGGAGTTCACATGTATGCTTGACTTTCTTAGGCCAGATCTTCACTACCAACTTTTACTGGTAGAGCTATGTTGAAGTGGAATGTGATCTCTGAGCAGAATAGCTCTGAAAGCAAATGCCCCTTAGTACAGGTGCACTTATGGTGGCAGAGCTTTGCTTATGCTTATTTAGCTTGTGGAATGGAATAAGCTATACAGGTAAAAGCAGAGGTGGGTTGGTATAAGCTACATTCACACTAGGAGTGCTTTGCTGGTGTCCCATAGCAGGACAGGTCTATTGGCAAAGCACTGCTCTCATAGACCTGGTCATAATATCAGCTTTGCCATAATATAACTCACTGAAATATGGTACTGTGTGTGTTGTGTGGGTAGAGGTAGAGATGGGAAGGGTTAGCATCCTATAAAACTATACAGTAATTGCTTTGGCTTGTCCCTTTCTTTACTAAAAAGACTCTCAACCAATGTGCTGGTTCTAATGAGCACCCTCCTATACCATTAACTCCAAAGGGAGATTGGTGGGCAGGTGGTGGGGGGGAAAAAAAATCAAGGCAACATTTTCCACAGTGCACACAGCCAATCGGGACGTACATTGTCTGTGGGTTTGACACAAAAATCAGAGAGTGGGTCTCCTCCCTGGTGCTTTCACTTGTGCAAAAGTTCTTGGGGACTCTAGAAATTTTTGCCCTGAACATACATAAACATTAATTTAAGAAATTCAAGCATAGGAATCCAATCAAAAATATTTGACAAAAATACCAGAAAATGGTTGCAGTTAGTTTCTTTTTTATGTGATGCAGTAGATATTATTTAGATAAAAATGATCCTGTGAGTGAATTTATAAGATCCACAGTCATTTTATCTGATATGAAATCACCTTCCCACTTCCCTGGTTTATAATAGCCTTAGAATAACACAGATCTGTTACTCTGACCTTCTACACTGATGGCTGGGCCCGTGCGTGAGACTAGGTAACTTTAAAATTACATTATACACTGAGGTATCACAATTCATGGCTGCATTGAACACATCAGGCCTCTTCTCCCTTTTCCTTGTGCCTATCAGTTAGGAGAGTGCTTTATTTTCAGTGCCGAGGAACAGCTTTCAACCTCAGAATTGCATTGCCATGACAGCAAGGCTAAAAACAGACCCAAGATGAGAAAAATGTCAAAGAACTAGTCACTGATGCTACTGTCAATTTCTGACTCTCCAACTCTTCCCTCAGTTACTGAAGCCATCTATTAAGTGACATGTCTTCCAGATACTTGGCTAAATCTTGAGAGTTTTACTCTGCTTTTACTCTCTCCTCACTCTTGTAAGTGGGAGTTTACTTGAGAAAATCCAGAGGAAATGCAGAGTAAAGGGTTTTAATTATATAATAATAGAACTATCACAGGACCCAAACCTGCAAATCTTTATTCGGGCAACTTGAAGTCAATGGGACAACCTGTGTGAATAAGGCATAAAGATGGCAGGATTTGGCACCTAATTAACTGTAACTAGTTGATTAATTCAAAGGGAATTCAACTCAATAATACCAAGGGAAAAAGGGAAAGGATCTCAACA